AGAGAGAGAGAGAGAGAGAGAGATGTACAGCAACAACAGTAGCAACAACTACATTAATAGTAATGATCGATGACGATGACAGACAGCAGTGATCATTTTGTTACCTTAGAATGAGCCATTTTTATCTATAGAGGGAGCGGGTCCGCTTCTAGGGAGCCCACCATGTTTACAGTGTTACAGTATCTCAACAATTGACAAATCAAACACTGGCTGTAGATAGGGCCTTTTGGAAGGGTGACCTGTATTTAAATGGTTGCAAATTGCAACTTCAACGTTGTGACACTCCAGGTAAGGTCAGGAGGTCACCAATCATGAAGCATTATATGGATTCCAAAAATATTGACACCATATTTAAAGGTCCAGTATGTAGGATCTAGTGGCATCTAGCAGTGTAATTGCAGATTACAACTCTCTACCAAATGAAGGAAAAACTATGGTGGCTGCAAAATGTGGGGAAAATGTGAACAGCCTTATCTAGAGCCAGTGTTTGGTTATTCCCTTCTGGGTTACTATAGAAACATGGTGGTTCAACATGGCAGAGTTTGTAGATGTAAAAGGCTCATTCTAAGGTAACAAAAAATAAAAACAATAAAATATATATATATTTTTAGGTGATTATACAGTAATGAAAACATTATATTCTATTTCTGCCAATAGATCCTCCTAAATTGTTGGACCTTTAATGTAAATATGTGTTAGATGTGCGGATATTCTTGCTTTATCAAAGTGTTAGATGGACAGATGGACTGACATGGCAATCCTTGGATCCAAACTGTTTGGGTCTCTAAGTAGTGGAATTCTGAAACAGCTCTGTATTTTTCTTTGAGGTGAAATGAACTGTGTGAGACACATCATTAGAATACTGGGCTTTGTTTCACTGCTTTGGCATCACCATTGCCAATTCACGCTGTCTGCACTGACACTAAGTGTCCCTCGGGGTGCACACACATTCTATTGCCAAGTTTGTTTTAATTAATCCCAAATTATGTGTAAGAAGTGCTCTTGTGATATTAATTTTAGAAATGACTTTCTAGAGCAATTAGTTAAAATAAAGTTAATAACTCTACCTCAAAGTCAATATACTCCTGTTTCCAGTGTTTTCACCAATATTTAGAATGAGATCTATAAGGTATTTATGTTGAAGGGTTGAAGCCATTATGTAAGGGTAAGGGACAGTTGTAATGTTTATAACAAGCTGTGTGTTTTCTTTTCTCCCCCGAATTCTGATTCTACACACCAAAACAGGTTGCGATGTCTTGTAAAGCAGCTAGAGAGGGGAGAGGCATCTGTGGTGGACCTGAAGAAAAACCTGGAGTATGCCGCCTCAGTCCTTGAATTTCTATACATGGAGGAAGCAAGGCAAGGAGCTCAGTTCTGAATTTAGCATTTAAGTTTAAGTTAAGTACTATACATACCGTTTGATGCCTAAAGTTGACATTTGTTTTAAAATTTTCCTCTGGGTCCTGAGACCATGATTGTTCTGGTGGAAGAAGTAGATTGTGTGTATGTAGCAATGTAAAGATTCTTCATTAAAAGTAAAACTCCTGCATTCCAAATTTTACTTAAGTCAAAATCACTACTTAAACTAGTATAAGTACTCACCATGCAGGGTGGCTTCTTTCTGAACAACAAAGCTCCAGCGATCTGTTGAAGATCTGTGTGAAGTTCTCGCCTATTTCAAATGCTCCACCATCATCCCGGGCCCCAAAAAACCTTCCATAACAGTTCAATTCAATTTTATTTGTAAAGCGCCAAATCATAACAGAAGTTAGAGAGAGAGAGAGAGAGAGAGAAAGAGAGACAGACAGAGAGACAGACAGAGAGACAGAGACAATGGTGCAGAGCAGCATAATTAAGGGATGGTTCAGGACTCACCTGAGCCAGCCCTAACTATAAGCTTTATAAGCTCTATAAGAGGAACGTCTTAAGCCTACTCTTAAATGTGGAGAGGGTGTCTGCACAACTGGAAGCTGGTTCCACAAGAGAGTTTAAATGACTACAGGCCTGTCGCCCTGACATCTGTAGTCATGAAGTCCTTTGAAAAACTGGTGTTGGCCCACCTGAAGGACATTACAGGCCCCTTGCTGGACCCCCTGCAGTGCTCTCCCCACTGCTCTACTCCCTCTACACAAATGACTGCACCTCAAGAGACCAGTCTGTCAAAATCCTGAAGATTTGCAAACGACACAACAGTCATTGGCCTCATCTGAGATGGTGATAAGTCTGCATACAGACGGGAGGGGAACAGCTCACCTCTGGTGTGGTCAGAACAACCTGGAGCTTAACACACTCAAAACTGTGGAGATAACAGTGGACTTTAGGAGGTGCCCCCCAATTCTGCCCCACATCACCATACTCTATATCCCTGTGTCTGCTGTGGAAACCTTTTTTACACAATCTCCCAAGATTAAGTCCAACATAGACACCATCATTAAGAAGGCCCAGCAGAGGATGCACTTGTTGTCTCTGTTCTCTGTTCATCCATCACTGTCTGGTTTGGATCAGACACCAAACAGGACAGGGACAGACTACAAAAGACAGTAAGGACTGCAGAGAGGATCACTGGTGCCAACCTGCCCTCCATTCAGGACCTATACTTGTCCAGAATCTAGAAACGGACAGGTGTTGTGGTTTTAACAACTTATTGCAATTTGGCATCCTATTTTTTTTTACAATTGCTTATTAAGGATTTTGAAGACAGAAACCATCTACTTTCCTGATAGAGTTAAATCATCAATTAACAGCTGAGGAGACAAACGTGAGATCATCATTATGTAAAGTTGCCTGCAGATCTTGTACATATAGTTTTTGTTTTTTGAGAATGTGCCTCTCCCTGCAGGCGGCTGGTGGATCCAGAGGATGAACTGAGTGACATCCAGTCCGACTCAGTGCCTTCAGAAGTTCGTGATTGGCTGGCCTCCACTTTTACCCGGCAGAGGGGCCTGATGCTGCATCGTAATGAAGACAAGCCTCGCTTTCGCAGCATAGTGCATGCAGTGCAGGCTGGCATCTTTGTGGAGAGGTTTGGTTTACTTTAGTTTGGCTTTGTCAGGGCTTTTGTTGTTCAGTTGACTTCCTGTGGGATTACTGGATCTTAGTAATGATTTGATCATGAAATTAATGCCATTTTCACATTAACTTATTAATTACTCAATTATATCCTAATGGGTATTGACATATTTGGACATTTTTAATACTGCTGAAAGTGCAGCTTACTGACAGGGTTCCATCCACCTCCAGCGTTTTAAGATCATATTCAGTTTGCCATTCAACTAAAATGCAGTGGTAAATGGATTGTACTTGTATAGTGCCTTTCTAGTCTTCCAACCACTCAAAGCGCTTTTACACACATTCACACAGTGATTGCAAAGTCTATCGAACATAAACTAACTCATTCATGCACATTCACACACAGATGACACAGCATTGAGAGCAACTTGGGGTACAGTATCTTGCTCAACACAACAACAACAACCTTCCGATTAGTGGACAACCCGCTCAACTTCTTAGCCGCTCCCAATGACCAAAGGCCAATTATTATTTATCCTTCACTGTACTCAGGACAATGGCTGGTAGCAATCAACAAAACGGTGCACATCGTCCAGTCAGAACAATGGTTGGGCATTTTGCTGCTTATTTGGTGCTTCACTCTAAAGTAGCTGATACAATATAATACAGGTTTTGTTATTGGTATTTCCTTCTGTTAGCAGTCATCTGTACAAATATACTAATAGTCATTTAAACAAGAGTCTCAATAAACTAACAGAATACATTTCAATTGAAGGTGGTTCAATGACCATAAAAATTTTACTACTTACCCCAAATTGGACTCCATCTGAGTCAGTTGTGACTCTGTCACTGCATGTAAAGAATCCAGTCTGCTATGCGGTTGATACAGTTAACTGATAAACCATCAAATTAGGGTGTAACATTAAAATGAACCCCTGCACATTGGAATGACTTCACTGTGAGTTATTTAGAAGTGAACAATACGTTCACACCCTGGTATTTAGGATACCTGGTTTAAGTCATGGAAAATGACATGACAGACATTGCCCCTCTAACACTGTTTCCATTAAATTATGTCTAAATGATCTAAATGCTATTCCTTCTTCCTTTCAGACCTTATATTTCCATTGCCCATTAAGTCTTTAAAACTTTACAATTGGCAGGAACACATCTCTGGTATTAATAGTCTTAAGTTTGGTGCATAACTATCAAAAATAGCATTTTTCACGTTTAAATAAATGCTATGCTGCCAACGACCAAGGTCAAAAGATATTTTATGAGGCTGGAAAACATTTTCTAACAGACGCCTACTGAGCTAATTTTATTTATTGCCATTCAACAAGGTTTGTGTTGTGCAGAATGCTAAAGAATTTCCTTTAGATCAAAAAGGTGGTGTTCCCAAACTGATAGACTTGACAGTCTATTCAGTCTATCCTGTGCCATGGTGCAAGTAGTTTTTAATTGGTTTTAACTTTAAAAAAAGATCTTTCTGCTGCTGCAACAGTGACAGGTTGCAGCAAAAAGATCTCAATATGAACAATAGCAGGGCAGTGCGAGCATCTTATGCTGATCCACAATAGGCATCTTTATTTTTTAAATCTGGTTTTGGGAATCAACAGGACAGCATAATTTGCCGAGGACCTGTGCAGCTGCATTTTGGTTTGGTTGTAGAACTATGTTATATATGTTGTTGAGTTGTGTACATTACACCCAGAGAAATATGTAATTTGTTCAGGTAATGATGCCTTTCTCCAGTCATCTGTCAATGTCATCCCCATTTGTCCATGTATCAGTGTTGTGGTTGTCTGCAGTTGTTATAAATTGACTTTCTATCCACATTTTTGTGTTTTTTAACTCTTTAACCGGATTAAGGATTTTAGTTACTAGACGTCTGAATTTTAATTTATCAGAGAAACAAGCTGAGCTAACTTTAGCAGCAGCTTGACTCTGAGACTTTTGTTGTGTCAGAGAAACAGCTTTATTGTTTTCAGAAATGAGGAGAACTAAAAGCATAATTCGTTACCTGGTAAAAACCTCCGGAATGTCTGGATCACATCTGGAAGTTATGAGAGAAACAAGCAGGGCTGATGTTAGCAGCAGCTCGGCTTGCAGCATTTTGTGGTAGTCCTTTGTCTACTGAACAGTGTCAGAGAGGTCACTTCTCAGTTAAACAAACATACTGTACTGTAGTACTTTTCTGAAATGGCTGATTATTTTCTTGGAAGGACAGTCTTGCATTGTTAAACTTGCTTGATTGAACTTTCGTTGTTTGACTTTGTCTTATTTTGTGATTTATTATGTATTCATCATTTATAATGTATTCAGTTATGTATTAATTTTTTTTGTTTGTGTGTGTTATATCTGACAGGATGTACAGACGAACTTCCAACATGGCTGGTCTCAGTTATCCCCCAAATGTCATCACTGCGCTCAAGGTATTTATGTTTGTTTGTGTATGGTGAAATCATATACAAATAGCAATGAGCATTCATTTTATTTTGTACAAAGGTTTTGATAATAAGCACATGCTGAGTTTTAAACATCTTAATTCAATCAGTCCATTATTGAGTTGACAGGTAGAGAACTGAGTAAGGGGTTTTGAATGGAGGGATAAAGTTGAGGTTAAAGAGTAAGATTAATTGACAGTTTGATAATGATAAGGTTAATGATGAGCCTTGTGGTAACAGCAGATCTGCACTGATGACAAATAATAATTTGCTGTTACTACCCAATGATGGTACAAACCTTTTCAATTGTGAAGGCCTGTTTACTTTTACTAAACTATTTAAGTCAATTTTAAAGGAAAAATAAGTGAGTACTCTTTGACAGTGTGAGTCCTTCTAACTCGTCACTGTAATCATTTTAGAGAATTATGTAAGTTTGTGAGTCATTCCATATTAACTGGATATCTTGTTCACTCACCTGTAGTGTGTGACAGTGTTATTCATCTGTTTCTATTGTCTGTGTTTACTGTTTAAATTAACTAGTTGCTTTAACATGCATAATAGTAGCATATTGACTCTTTATTAGTCATTATAAAGCACTTATTAATGTCTGTCTTTTATATGATGGTAATACCACTAGAATACTCATTCTCCTTTAAAGGTCCATTGTGTACCCTTTAGAAGGATATATTGGCAGAAATGGAATATAATATTCATAGGTATGTAAAATCAACTGAATATAGGAATTGTTTTTTTTTGTTACCTTAGAATGCGCCGTTTTTATCTATAGACACCACAGGACGCCTTCCATGGCATCAGCCATGTTGAGCTGCCATGTTTCTACGGACAAGCTAAACACTTGCTCAAGATAGGGGCATTCAAGTTTTTCACGCATTTCGCATTTATAATGACTAATAAAGAGCCAATATGATACTAATATGCATGCTAATAAGCAACTGGTTAATGGTGAATATGTGCACCTTAATATAAAGTGTTAACATAATTTTACATTTTAAGCGACAACACACAAATTTCCTCCACTGAGGACAATAAAGAATGAATCTGAATCTGAATCTGCATGACACCTTAAAAAAATAAGGTGCCATAGCAATGAACACATGAACAGGTATGTCGATATTCAAGTGCTAACAAAACTTGCTTGTATGTCTCTTTTCTAGCATGTGGACATGTGGTCCTTTGATGTGTTTGCACTCAATGATGCTAGCGGCGACCACGCTCTGAAATTTGTCTTCTATGAACTGCTCACCAGATATGACTTGATCAACCGTTTCAAGGTACACCAAAAATCTTCCATGTTGTTATTACGTATGCATTCCAGGTCTAGACCGAACTCCTTTTAACATTTACAGAGACCCAACAGTACCACCATGAGCAAGAACTTGGCGACGGGGGCAAGGAAAAACTGCCTTTTAACAGGCAGAAA